AGGGAGCCCGATGCGGGACTCGATCCAGGGACTCCAGGATCATGACCTGAGCCGAAGGCAGTCGCTTAACCAACTGAGCCACCCAGGTGCCCACATCCAGGTGTATTTTAGAGGTAGAATCACTGGATTGGGGGAGGGAGGAAGAAGTATTATAAGGAGTAGCTTGGAATGGAGAGAAGACTTGTCCTGGGACAGGCACTTTTCAGGGAGGACAGGATCTGAGAAGGAAACATTAGGAGCTGTTTCCGTGCATTAACTTTATGCTATTTCTGGAACATCCACATGCAAGTGTAAAGTAGACAATTAAATCTGTGAATACAGTGCTCAAAACTGGGTTGGAAATATTCGATTTGGGAGTCATAGGTATACAGATGGAGGATAAAGCCATGGTGAGAGCTGATGTCAGCTGGGTAGGAGTATCAGTGAAGAGAAAATGGTCCAGAACAGAGCTCAACAGAATGCTCATATTTCCAGGAGGAGCCAGCCAAGGACAGTGTGAAGGAACAGCTAAAGAGAGGATCGATGTAAATGCCAAAAAGAGGAAAGTGTGTCAAGGAGGGATGGTCAGCTGTGTGGACGCCCTGAGCAGTCTAATGAGATGAAGACCAAACCATGTTTTGGATTTGCCAACATGGAGGTCTTACAGGAAGGGCAGCTGCAGCAGAAACCAGTCTGGGCTGGCCAAAGACAGAAAGGGAAGTGCCAAGAGTCCACCCAAGAGGATGGCAAGCATAAACCTAACGTGATGGCAGCCTATCCAGTTAGGCAGTTTTTCTCACACACTGTTCAGTTGCTTGATGAAAGCCTGGACGAGACGGAGGGTTGGGTTTAGCCCGGCCAGAATTTCACCACACAGGCGTAGGAGAGGGAGCGGGGAGAGCAGAGCAAGGGTGTTGAGAGAAGTGAAATGATGGGCTGTGAAGTCTGAGTTGGTTGAGGAGGCAAGGGAGGATACGGAGTGGGTGGAGCTGAGGGACTGGAGGTCTCCTGCAAGTGAAAGCGCTGGGCCGGTAGGCGCACTTGAGCAGGCGAGCTGGAAATCCAGAGGAGAGAACCAGGCCTTTGAGACTTCATAGTTTGTGTGGTATCAAGTCCATGTGGTGACCATGGGAATCAGAGGCTGAAAAGAAGAGGTGGAGAAGGTCCCTGGAAGCGAGGAAGACAAGGGTCTGTGAAGTCAGAGAATGAAGTTTTGAGTTAACATCAGTGAGGTCCGTGTCAATGTCCAGCCCATTGAAGTTGCTGAAAGTTATTGGAGTGGAGATGAAGATGACTCATAGGAGCCCCTAAAGTCTTCACTGAACAAGTGAACGACCAGGAAGTCGGTAACACAGCAGTGAGCAGTGAGGGAATAGTATAAGCCTCAAAGAAGAGGGCTTTCTGCACCAGCAAGGTGAGCAGGGGTCTGGAAGCAACGGTGAAGAACAGGAATTCCTGTCACGGGAGTAGGAAATAGCCCCGGGAAGGGGCACTAATGCAAAGCACAGGCAGGGGACTTCCTCCACTTTGGAAGAGAACCCTGCAGTCCCTTAGCAGCGTCTGCAGAGGTAAGTGTGAGGAAGGCTAGCACCCATGCTAAGGATCTGCAAACACCGTCCTAAGATATGCTGTCTTGCAACTCGGGGGAGGCTGCGTGGAACAATAGGGAAAACTCCAGGTCATACTGAGAGGGGACCATGCAGGTCCAAACCGCCTGTCAAAGAAACGGTAAAGTAAATGAAGACATCCCTGAGCCGGAGGAGGCTGAAAAAGAGAACGGCTACGGTGGCCGAATAGGAAGAAGTAGGCTCTCCCAGGCGGCAGCCATAGTGAACCAGGAAACTGAGGACCGCGGCCAGAGGTTGCTCCACAAGCTAGTCATGGCATAACCCCAGTCCGGGTAGTGAAGGGAAAGGGAGCCCCACACGGAGGGACCTCAGCCTGGCACGCACAGCTTCTAGTAGATTATACCAGAGCTGCTTCTTCAGTACTGTTCCTGGGGAAGGAAGAGGGGGAAAGTGCTGGAAAGGGCACTGAGGACAGAGGGAAGAGAGGGGGAGGACTGGAGGTAGCCCATAATCAATACAAGCTCCAGAGCAAGTAAGAAAATGAGTTTCTCTTAGATCCCCACTCCGTTAGAAGACTCAAACCTATGTGTGGTTATCAAAGAGAAAGTATATTTGCAACGACTACAGTAAGATAGCACAATGGATAATAAAAAAGGTAGAGAAAATCTATTTCCGTGACCAGAAGAAAAAAAGAGGCATCTAATCCAACTGGGTGGTCAGGGAACTCTTCACAGCAGACGCGGAAGAATGGGGGGATTTTGAAATGCAAGGCCGCACAGGTGGAGGAATGGCCCCAGGCCTCCCTGGCAGCAGCAGTTGGTCCTGTACCTCTGGAGGCCTCCATCCAGCCTCAGCCACATCCCTCCGGGCCCCATCCTGACTCACCATTGTCCCCCTTCCCTCTCCAGTCGCAGGACCTCTGAGCGAGCGGCCCCTGAGGAAAATGTCTGACCCTCACAGCAGCCCTCTCCTGGCCGAGCCTCTTTCCAGCAGATGCAAACTCTATGAGTCAGAGTTTACCAACCCGAGCTGGCCCTCCAGCCCCCAGGATACACACCTGGCCCTGCCCCTCCTGGAGATGCCTGAAGAGAAGGTGAGGAGTGTCCCTCCCAGCACGTCTCCCAGGTAGAGGGAGGAAGGGGGATGAAAGACGCTGCTTTCCCAGCTTCCCAGGACACGCGTTGCAGAGCGGCCTGAAGGGGCCACTGCCCGGGGACGTTCTGCCCCCCTCGTCAGCACAGGGTCACACCCCTGGTCGGTCCTATTTGGCCTACGATGGAAAATGTGGTTCTGTGTGCAACACGATTTTAAAGACAAGTAGGGAATGCACACACTCACACACCAGTCTTCCAGCCAATCCCCCGAATCCTTCCCCCTTAGACCTGCTCCCTTGACTTACCTTATCGTCATCTCCCAAAGTAAGGCCTGTGTTCAAAGTTTAGCTTTTAACGCTCCCTGAACTGATACAGTGGAGAGGGACCCAGGACCACTGAAGTTGCTTTTTTTTTAATGAGATACAATTTATAGACCATAAAATTCACCCCTTTAAAATGTACATTTCACTGGTTTTTAGCATAATTATAAAGTTCGCCCACATCACCACCAGTGAATTCCAGAATATTTTCATCACCTCAAAAAGAAACGCAAAATACTCATTAGCAGTCCCTCCGCATTCCCCCTCCCCCACACCTGTCACCCGCCCGTCTACCTTTTGTTCCTGTGGATTTGCCTATTCTGCACATTTCATGTCAATGGAATCATCTAATATATGGGCTTCCGTGAAATGCTTCTGTCATTTAGCATAATGTTTTCAGGTGCATCCTTGTCGTAGCATTAATCAGTACATCATTACTTTTTATGGCCAAACAACATTTCATGGTATGAGTATACCATAGTTTATTTACCCATTCATCAGTTGATGGACATTGGGTGTTTCCACTTTTTGCCAGTTACAAAAAATGCTACTATGAGCATTTGTGTAGAAGGTATTGTACAGATACATGTTTTTCTTTTTCTTGGGTATATATCCAGAAGTGGAATTCCTGGGTCATGTGGTAACTGTATGTTTAACATTTTCAGGCACTGCCAAACTGTTTTCCAAAGTCACCGCCTCACTGTGCGTTCTCACGAGCGATGTACACGTCGTGCCCCTCCGCCTCCTTGTCAAAACTTGTTACTGTCTTTTTATTAATAGCGTGGGTGGATGTGAACTGACATCTCACTGTGATTTTGATTAGTATTTCCCTAATGTCAAATTGATGTTGAGCATCTTTGCCTGCGCTTGCTGGCCAGTTGTATATCTTCTTCGGAAAAATGTCTTTTGAAGTCCTTTGCCCATTTTTTCAATTGGGTTATTTGTCTTTTTATTGTGGAGTTGTAACAGTTGTTTCTATATTCTGGATATTAGACCCTTGCCAATTATATGATTCACAAATAATTTCTCCCACTCTGTAAGTCTTTTCACAGTCTTGATAGTGTCCTCAGAAGCACAGTTTGTGATTCTAAGTCTGATTTATCTGTTATTGACTTCTATTGCTTACGCATTTAGTGTCATATCTAAGAAACCATTTTCTTATCCAAGGTCACAAAGATTTAGTCTTATGTTTTATCTAACAGTTTTATATTTTAGCACTCACGTGTAAGTCTTTCATCCATTTTGAGTTAACTTTTGTATATGGTGTCAAGTAGGGGTCTAACTTCAGTCTTTTACAAGTAGACATCCAGTTGTCCCAGCACCATATTGAAAAAGCTATTCATTCTCCATTGAACTGTTTTGACACTGCCATCAAAAATCATTTGACCATAGTGCATGGGTTTATTTCTGGGCTCTCAACTTTAACTGATTTGTATGTCTGTCCTTATACCAGTACCACACCATCTTGATTACTGTAGCTTTGTAGTAAGTTTTTGAAATCAAGAGTGAGTCTCCCAACTTTGTTTTTCCTTTTCAAGACTGTTTTATCTATTCCGAGACCCTTGAATTTCTGTATTAATTTTAGGATCTGACTTTCAATTTCTGCAGGAAAAAAAAAGCAACTGGGATTTTGATAGGGATTGTATTAAATCTATAGATCAACTTGAGGAATATTGATATTTTAACAAATCTTCCAATCCAAGGACATAGGATATATTTCCATTTTTTTAAGTCTTTAATTCCTTTTGATGTTTTGTAGTTTTTAGTATAAAAAAACTTGTACAAAACCTTTAGTATACGTCTTTTTTGTTAAATTTATTCCAAAATATTTTATTTTTTTCATGCTATCATAGAATTGTTTTCTTCATTATATTTTTGGATTGTTCATTGCCCATGTATAAAAATAAAACTGATTTTTGTAGATTGATCTTCTATCCAGCAAACTTGCTGAACTTGTCCATTAACTTTAATAGTTTTTTGGAATTTTTTAAATAGATTTTTTAAGAAGATTCCATATAACAGAATGTGCCATCCACAAATGGAGATAGTTTAAATTACTTTTTTCCAAGCTGGGTCCCTTTTGTTTGTTTTTTTCTTACCTAATTGCTCTGGCTAGAACTTGCAGTACAATGTTGAATAGAAGTGACAAGAGAACCAACATCCTTGTCTCATTCCTGATCTTAAAGGGAAAGCATCCCATCTTTACATATAATACATATATTAGCTGTGGGTTTTTAGTAGATACCCTTTATTAAGTTGAGGAATTTTCTTTCTATTCCTAGTTTGCTAAGTGTTTTTATCAGGAAAGGTTGTTGAGTTTTTCAAGTGGTTTTTCTGTGTCTATTGAGATAATCATGTGGGTTTTTTCTTTCACTCTGTTAATAATTATTGATTGATTTTTATATGTTGAAACAGTTTTGAATTCTGAGAATAAATCCCACTTGGCCATAATTATTTTTATATGTTACTGAATCTGGCTTGGTAGTATTTTGTCAAGGATTTTTGCATCTATATTTACAAAGCAGATTGATCTGTAATTTTCTTTCCTGTGATGTCTTTGTCTGGCTTTGGTGTTAGGGTAATACTAGCCTCATAGAATGTGCTAGGAAGTGTTGCCTTTTCTAGTTTTTGAGAAATACTGTTACTAATTCTTTAAGTATTTGGCAGATTGTACAAGTGAAGCCATCTGAACTTGGGTTTTTCTTTTTTTTTTAATAAAGATTTATTTTATTTTTTTATTTTTTATTCATTTGACAGAGAGAGACACAGCGAGAGAGGAAACACAAGCAGGGGGAGTGGGAGAAGGAGAAGCAGGCCCCCTGCAGAGCAGGGAGCCCATGCAGGGCTCAATCCCAGGACCCTGGGATCTTGACCTGAGCCAAAGGCAGACGCTTAACGACTGAGCCACCCAGACGCCCCTGAACTTGGGTTTTTCTTTGTGGGAAGTGTTTTGTTTGTTGTTTTTGTTTTTGTTCTACTAATTTAATCATTTACTTTGTTATGAGTTCGTTCAGATTTTCTGTTTCTTCTTGAGTCATTTTGATAGCTTGTGCCTATCTAAAAATGTATTCAGTTCATCTAGGTTATCTGATTTGTTAGCATACAATTATCCATTTCTTTAGAATCCATTTCCTCATAACCCTTTTTATTTCTTGAAGGTTGGTAGTAATGTCTCCTCTCTCATTTCTGATTCTGGTAATTTCAATCTTCTCTTTTTAACTTGGTCAGTCTAGCTAAAGGTTAGTCAGTTTTGATCTTTGCAGAGAACTATCTTTTAGTTTCATGGATTTTCTATATTTTTTCTTCTCTATTTCATTTATTTTCATGACAGTGTTTATTATTTCCTTCCTTCTACTTGCTTTGTGTTTAGTTCACTGTTATTTTTCTAGTTTCCTAAAGTGAAAGGTTAGGTTGTTGATACAGGATATTTCTTTTTTTCACATAGGTCTTTACACCTACAATTTCCCTCGAACACTGATTTAGCTGCATCCCATAAGTTTTGATAAGTTGTGTTTTATTTTCATTCATCTCAAAGTATTTTTCTAATTTCTCTTCTGATTTCCTCTTTGATCCATTGATTATTTAGGAGTCTGTTGTTTAATTGCCACATTATTTCCCAAATTTCCTTTTGCTTTTGATTTCTAAATTCACACCATCATGGTCAGAGAACATACTTTGGGGGCACCTGGCTGGCTCAGTTGGTAGAGTGTACAACTCTTGATCTTGGGGTTGTGGGTTCAAGCCCCACATTGGGTGTAGAGATTACTTAAAAGTAAAATCTTTTTAAAAAGAGAGAACAGGGTGCCTGGGTGGCTCAGTCGTTTAAGCATCTGCCTTCGGCTCAGGTCATGATCCCAGGGTTGTGGGATGGAGACCAAGTCAGGCTCCCTGCTCAGCGGGCAACCTGCTTCTCCCTCTTCCTCTGCTGGTCCCCCTGCTTGTGCTCTCTCACTCTCTCTCAAATAAATGAAATCTTAAAAAAAAAGAGAGAGAAAGAACATCCTTTGTATGATTTTAATGCCTTTAAATTTACTGATACTTTTTTATCAGTAAAAATGTTTTACTTAGGGCAAAAAAAAAAAATGTTTTACTTATCTTATGGCCTAACATGGTCTATACTAAGAATGTTCCATGTGCAATAGAAAAGAATGTATATTGCCTTTATGAAAGAACTTGTGGAGGTCCTTACTCTACCACTTTCACTGATATCCTCAAGACACTGAAGTTTTGATGTACGGAGGAGGTTAGAGAAATCTATAGACCATCAGTGTACAATAGAAATATAATGTGAGCCACACATATATGTTTAAATGTCTATTAACCATATTTTTAACAGTAAAAGGAAGGTAACATTAATTTTAATACTATATTTTATTTAACCTAATATATATGAATATATAATATTGTTATTTCATTATTTAACCAGTGTAAAGTATCACTGAGATATTTTACACATTCTTTTCTCATAGTAAGTCTTCAAAATCCACTTGGAGCCTATCTCAATTCAAATTAACCACATTTTAAGTGCTCAATAGCCACGTGTCCTATTGGCTATGATAGTGAACAGTGTAGTTTTAGAACAAGCAGTCCTGACCAGGAGGTCCACAGATAGGCTTGAGGGGGTATGAACTTGGATGGGGAAAATAATTTACCTTTATTTCACTAGCTTCCAATGAACTATAGCACTTATTTGAATTATAAACATAAGTAATGAACAACAGCCCTATCCGTACTAGGATTGTTGCCCTTGTCACAGGTTGGGTTCCCCTAGAAGGGTGACTTTGAGATGGAGATTTGCATGTAAGAAGTTTACTGGGGTGTGCCTTTGGGGTCAATACTTGGAGAGGAGGAAATGCAGCAGGATTAGGCAGAAGAAGAAATTGGGCAATAAGGGCCCCAGGCGACCCTATAGTGAGCTCTGGATCTCAAGTGGCCCTATAAAGTTGTCCTGAGTTGGCATGAGGAGGCCCCACATACTCACACATTGTTACTTTGAAATTATAATAGGTATTAGATTGGCCGCACCTGTATGTCTATCACAGACTTTTTTATTTTTAAATATAACTGGTTTTCTTTGCAATCCTGTTTATTTTATTCACTTCCAAACATCACTTCTGGAAAGAAGTCCATGGCCTTGTAAACTGACAGAAGGGATCCACAGCACAAAAGTTTATGAAACCCTGCTGTGAAGAATGTGTAGTCGTCCTGGAAGACTGGCTTGCGTGTGGCACCCTGGACAGCAATAGAGAGTGGACCGGGGTCTTATGATCGTTTATCTTTATCAGAACAGCTGACAAGCTTTCCTATCCCCAAGTGCCCCTGCTCTCAAAAAGACGTATTATATGATAGTTTGTCATGGTTTCTCTTAAAAGGATCTCCGCTCATCCAATGAAGACAGCCATATTGTGAAAATGGAAAAACCCAGCGAAAGGACTAAAAGGAGAGAAAGTGGGGCAGCCCATCGGGGCTCTGCAGGCTTGGGGGGCATCAGCCTCTTCCAAGCAGTGGGCTACCTCACAGGGGAGATGAAGGAGTGCAGGGGCTGGCTGAAAGGTAAGCAAATGCCCAGGGAAGAAGCAGTGCCCCCTCTGGCCTGGGTGGAGGAAGCTGCTCCCTCATTCACCTATTGAGAGGACCCCCAGGTGGAGTGCTCCCGCCCTGAGTTGGCCGTGGGTGGGTCTAAGGTACCCCACTAACTTGGGATTCCCACAGGTTCAGAATGAAATGCACTTCACTGATTTTAGTTCTTTGCAAATTCTTCACCCCTACATGGAATAGAGGACAACCGCTTTAGCAACATAAGAGCCATTCCCCAGTGATCTTTCCTTCCCTTGTTCCACAGCCATTTACTATGTGCCGAGAAAATACTGACATCCCCCTCCCCCATATTCCAACATTCTTTCTCACCTTTCAATGGCTTTCTTCTCCTAGTTTCCCTCAACTAAATACTGCAACAAACACCCCTATCCTCCTCACCCACACCTGTAGAGGCAGTCCTAGAAACCGAACCAGAGAGCAAGGCAGAATATATGTCCCCTCTTCTAGGCCTGGCTTCCCCCAGGTCCTAACTCAATACAACTGCACTGCTGGGCTGAAACCATTTCTTTTTCAGCTCCTTTTCTCCAGACTCCTTTCTTTACTGCTCAGATACCAGCTCTCAACTGAGCCATACGGCACAACACAAAAAGAGAGTTTCCTTCCCTCCTCACCCCTTCCCTTGGACCAATAAATTCCCCTTGGAATGCTCCCAAGGCTTCCTTGCCAACCAAGCTGATGGCTGGAACGGCGTTAAATTGGTCTCAGCATGGTGCCTCAGTCTGTATGGCAAAAGCTAACACCCACTGTGGACTGATTGCCTAGCCACTCAGAGACTTGGGCTGGGTACCAGGCCGAATGAGAGGAAATGTCCTGGCCCCTGCATCCCTGTTTGCCTTGGTTGCCGTGTCAGCCAGTGGTCCAGCAGGGAGGCCCAAGCCGACCCCTGCTCACGGCTCTGTCTCTTTCAGATAAGCCCCTGGCCTTCCAGTTCTCAGACTGGGTCCTGAGGGGGGCTGCTCAGGTGATGTTTGTCAACAACCCTGTCAGCGGACTCATCATCTTCATAGGACTCCTGATCCAGAATCCCTGGTGGACGATTACCGGGGGTCTAGGGACAGTGGTCTCCACCTTAACTGCCCTCGCCTTGAACCAGGACAGGTAGGTCCCTGTCTGGTTGGTTGTGGGGTCTTGAGATGGACAGGTAGAGAAATGTTTATGAGACTGATCAGCCAACATTATCCTACCGGCCAGCCCAAAGTCTCCTGAAGATCGACTTTGAACCAGTCACTGGAGGTCTCTATAGAATTAAACAGAATTAAATTACTCCTGTGCTCACAGCAGGTGACAGCACTAGGCTCCTTTTGACTGTAGATCCTTCTGGAAACACTCCCTGGGAGGCAGGTGCAAAGGAACACTTAAGTGGCTCTTCCCTCATGGAGCCTACAGTCTATTTGAGGCAAGAAATGTCTCAGAATAATAAGAAACAGTATATACTGGAGAGCTCTAAAAAGACAGACGTCTCTGGGGTGCCTGGGTGGCTCAGTCGTTAGCATCTGCCTTTGGCTCAGGTCATGATCCCAGGGTCCTGGGATCGAGCCCCGCATCGGGCTCCCTGCTCGGCGAGAAGCCTGCTTCTCCCTCTCCCACTCCCACTGCTTGTGTTCCCTCTCTTGCTGTGTGTCTCTCTCTCTGTCAAATAAATAAAATCTTTAAAAAAAAAAAAAAAGAAAAGACAGACATCTCTAAGTGTTGGGGGGGATGAGAGAGGGCAGCCTTTGAGCTGGAAACATGGGACCTGGGAGAGAGAAGGGAGGGAGAAGAGGAAGGGCAGAGTGGAGGCAGGAGGCATTACCCTCCCCACCCCCGCACTGGTGGCCACAAAGTCCAGGAACAATAATAAGTAGCATTTTATGTAACTGGACCATTTCCTCAGACTTTGCGCCACTCTGTCCCAGTGTTCCCAAACTTTGCTGGTGGCTAGAATCGTCTGGGCTGACTGTTAAGGAATGTGTCTTCTTCAGCCCAACCACTTCTGTTCCCTCAGATAGTCCCATTCAATGGGTCTTGGAGGGAGTGTTTTTTTTAAAAAGATCCTTCTGGGTGCTTCTGATGATCAGAGAAGTTTGGGAATGTGCATATTTTTAGTGTTTTTCAATTTGGGGGTCACCCATCCATTTGTGGATCATGAATTAATTGTCAACAGCATTTTTAAAAATTAAAATAATAGAATAAAACAGATTAGAGTCATTCATATATAGTCAATGTTTTGTGAAATTTTTGTTTCATTAATGTTGGGATGTGTTGGATATGTGGGGGAGATGCACAGGGGGACAGAGAGAGAGAACCGGGTCATGCTGCCAAGTACATTCCCTCCTTACCGTGGGTTACTGCCAAGAGATTGAAAAGCACTATCATGCACTATCATGATTCTGACGGCCACTTCACAAGGCAGAAAGTGAAGGTAAGAGGGTCCACACTTCACAAGTAAGAGAAAGGAGACGGGGAGGTACCACAATGAGTGGATAGCCGGGCTCGGGGTGTGACACATGGCCCACATCTTCTAGGCTGAGGTGAGTGCTCTCCTTGTCACATAGACCATGTGGACAGCAAGGCCAGAGGCTCCCTGGTGAACCCAGAGGATGGGGAGTAATCAGAATTGACTGTTGTAACCAACACCACATTGCCTCCGGGTGCACCTGACATTCCAGATGCCACTAAGGCAAATTTGTGAGTCGACTTGTCTCCCCTGAGAAGCCATTCATGCACCTCTCAGGTGGCCCTGGGGGACCCCAGGAGGCCATTCCAAATTGGATGAATGAGAAGCTGAATTCTTTGGGGTGCAGGTCTGTGTGTGACATAAAAAGTAGGCTCCAGCCAGGATTTTGTGTCTCTCTTTCAACCAGTAGGTTCCCTATTCCTCCTTACCATCTCAGGGGCCAGCTGGCTTAGAATTGGGCCCCTGACGGGATTACCTCTGGTCTCACTGCTTCATCACTGTTTGGTAAAACTCACCCGAACTCTGTCCAGCCCACTGCCTCTTTAGCTATGTGACCTTGGGCCAGTGCTTCCCCTCCTGGCCCCATTGTCCTCGTCTGTGAGAGCTACAACTCACTAGCTCACCTTCGAGGAGCCAGAGTCCCTTCCTGCGCAGACAGTCTGATTCTCCGACTTTCTTCCCAACCATAATCTACTGGTAAACTTGCCAGGCCATTCACAGAGCTGCTTCATGGACCTCAGTATTACAGGGGAGACACCAACCACGCCTGCCTAATCCTCCCAAACATCTTCACTAAGACAAGTATATGCCAGTTTGGCTTCCAAAGCCTTCTCTGATGGGCCCCACCATATTCCCACTCAGTATCCCACTATTCCCAGTTAAGCACTTTTGCTTCTGCCTATCTAATCCTACTATCCTTTCAAATCCCCCTCCTACAGGGAGCCACCCCTGATTACCTCAGTGCTCTCTGAACGAACCCTCCTTTCTCACTGGACAACCCCAGAACATACCCCAATAACTCTATGGGATGGTTCTCTAATTGCTCTCTGAGGCTTCTCTCCCTGGCAATGTTCTAAGCATGTTCAGGACAGGAAGTCATTTTGAATGCTCCATATTCTAATCATAACCACCACTGTCCCTCTCCACCATCCCTACTCCCCTACCCCCATTCCCCTGACCACCCCTACTTCCTGTCCACCAGTCCTACTCCCTGCCTCCTCCTCCATCAATCCCATGTCTCGCCTTATCCCTGCTACCCTACCCCCACTAGCCCAGAGACTGTACTTCACAGAGAGGAACTCCAGGTCATCAACTCTAATGCTGCGGTGTCCCGATGGAACGTGGTCCTAATGAAGACCTTTTTGGCATTAGGGTTAAACCTACCTTTGTATTTCTGATGGTCAGAGTGGGACGTAAGGTAATGAGTTTCATTTTGACAACCAAACCCAAAAGCCACCAAAGGTTTGGTAGAGAAGTGTCCTGGGAGGGGATGTCACCAGGGAGGGGCAACTATGGAGGCAGCCCTTAGATATGGCCCTAATCTTGTCTCCCCTGGGCTCCCTTGTTTGATTCCTACTATTCCCCCTATACCCTGCCCCTGGGGCTACTGGCCAGGCCCCAACGAGGGGCCAGCCATCTTTGCCCAGTTTGCCTGAAGCAACTGGTATTAAAACCAAAAAAATCCTAAATTCTAACACTGAACAGAAATGGGAAAGTGTAGACAAAATGCAATCACACCTAAAAGTTAAGTATTTTCCCAAACATGGGTTTCTGCTTCTCAGATAGATATCCTAGTCCTGAGCATTGTGAACCCCAGTGGTCTTCCCTCCCAGCCCCCCGACCTGTCCCCAGCTGCCCCATATGTTCATGGCCTCGGGAGCAGCCCACCCACTGTCCCGTGTCCCATACAAGTGTCCCCCCACAAGGGCCATGTGCTCAGGTTTTCTTGTTGGCAACTGTCTAGAGACTCCCCCTCCCGCCCTCCGGCTGCCCCACTCCCCGCACCACTAGCTGAGCGGCTCTCCTGGCCCCTCCAGAGCTGAGGCTCCCCTCCTTCCGGACCTAAGCCATGGCCTCTGCCAGGCAGGAGGCCTTCTCTAGCCAGAGCTCCCTGCCTCCCTCTCAGGGCACTTGTGCTTCTAGATGCCCCTGCTGGGCACGAACGATCAGTCGGTGAAGAGCTCTAGCATTCCCACACAGACATTCAACAGCTAGGCAAGGCCTGGAACCCTCTGTGCACCAGACGGACGCTGTTGTCTGTTGTTACACTGATGTCAGATGGATGAGCTCCAGCCTGAGCAACCCTGGGCAACTTCCAGTCAAGGACAGGGACAGAGCACAGCACACAAAGCTCAAGCTCAGGCAGGGGTCTTGCAGGGATTGGCCCAGTCCCTCCCTTACCCTGCTCCCTGTCCCCCCAGCCAGCAGAGTTATGGCCAGGGTCAAGGGCAGTGTTGTTAACATCCGGGAGAGAAGCTGAGGTGCACATAGACTTCCCTGATGAAATGAAGAGAGGATAGACTCGGGCTTGGATTCTCCCCACCTCTGGGCCTCTCCCTGCCCTGCCGAGGGGAGAGGCACGTACACATCCCCAGCGGGCTCAGCTCGTCCACTCTGGGACACACTGTCATCCTTGGAGAGAAGACAGGTGACAATTACAGCTTCACACCATGCAGTCAGAACGCACTCTCTCCTCCTCTTTCCCTTACTCCCCTCCTCCCTGTCTCCTACACACACACACACCCCCCTTCCCCAGTGTCATACTCAGGTTTCTGTTAGATCTCCCACTATACTTAGCAGTCAGAGACACCCACCCCTGAGAACCTGAGGGGAGAGCTCAGACACAGTGAGAAGCCTTAATTCTAGAACAGCAGGGTAATCAGGGCTGGGTGGGGGGGGTAATCTGGGAAGGTGCTGGCAGCTCTGTGACTACCCAACATTCAGGAGTAAGCTGACTTGTTTCTAGTAGTACCAAGGGGGGCCCTACAAGCACCACCAAATTCAGATGCAAAGTAGCTGTCCCTTCTCCCCCCACCCCCAGGTCTGCCATCGCCTCCGGCCTCCATGGATACAACGGGATGCTGGTGGGACTGCTCATGGCCGTGTTCTCGGAGAAGAGGGACTATTACTGGTGGCTTCTGTTTCCTGTGACCTTCACAGCCATGACCTGGTGAGACACCTCACTCCTTCTGCTCACAGACCCACGGGGCCCCGGGGTGCTTGCGTCTTACACTGGACAGGGACATGGACCCCCTGGAGCCCAGTGCTTCATCATCAGGCTGGCTTGTCCCACAGGACACAGTGAAGATCCGTGAATCTGATTGCAACACAGCAGATCATTTTTTTATTTTGGAATAACAAGGACCCTTTAGAGCAGCAATGAGCACAGGTTTTTTATGGTGCTAATAATCTTCTTTGACTGATAGTTTTAATAATAATGGCTAACATTTACTGTGGATTTCCTACAAGCCAAGGAACAGTGCAAAGCCAGGTAGGGTTACTATTGTCCCCAGCTTACAGAAGGGAAGACCAAGTCATGAAGAGGTTAAGTAACTGGCCCCAGGTCACACTTTTACAAAGTTTTTGATGATGAACCCAGAGTCTCCAGGCTTCCTGGGAATCATCTAAACTGTGGCCTGAGAATAGACAGAAAAGCTAAAAACTCACTGGGGACAGAATTAGAGCTCTCTTGGAGCAGGATATCTACAGTGAAAGCACAGAATCTTTGAACAAGAAGCATAAGTTAAGATCTTGCTGTGCAATCACCTCATTTTGCAAAGGAATAAGTCAGGAGGAAGGGTCTTGGAAACAAATACTCATGCTAGGCCTTAGCTCACCTGTGTCTGAGGCAGGTCTGTGGTGCCTGAGGCCACCAGCACCTGAGGGCAGGAGCCTGAGGTGATCCGCGTTGTCCATTCTGTGCCCCGCAGCGCCAAGAGAGGCTGACGAATTTTTAACATCTCTAAGAAGTACATGTCTTTCTTCGGTGTCTGGAGTTACTAAAACCAGTTAGTTTAATTTAGTTTAAGTACTGTTTTATTACTTTTTAGTAGTGCTTGTAAATAAATTACTACATCAAGCATTCTGGGCAATTTATGTTTCTTCTTAGGGTTTCTGTCTTTCTGAAACCACTGGGACAAAAAGCTATAGCAGTCATTTCTGTGGAGTTTTCTCAATGTCCCCGCCTGTCCCCATGTCAGGAGTAGCAGACCTCGTCTTCATTTGCACACATTTGCTTATAACAACGCAGATGAAGCCCCTCAGCAAGCTCCGCAGCCATTCTGCACTGGGTGGCACTTTGTCTACAGTGCCCACTCCCCACTTTAACAGACAAAAAATCATGGAGCACCCAACTCTGTGCTGCTATTCCAGTGTGTTCACTAATCTATTCATGTAGAACCCAAAATCCAACCCATAAGGTAGGTATTAGTAGTGCCATTTTCCAGATCTATCCAACAAATGTTTGCTGAGTGCCTGCTATGTGCGGGGACTATTCTAGATCCTGGGGATACTTGTGAACAAGAGACGGTCTCCATCCTCTTGGAGCCTATGTTCTTCTTGACAAAGATAGAAACAATGTCCCCAACTAGTTAATTAAAAAGATCTTGTCAAGATTTGATTAGTGCTGTGAGGAAAGCAAAACAAGGGTGAGCGGGACAGAGAGTGATTCCAGACATGAGTGGTCAGGGAAGGCCACTATGCAGAGGGAATGAGGGTGCTTTCCCCTAAATGATAAAAGGCAGCTGCCCTCTGAAGATCTGGTGCAGACCCCAAATGGAGGAGTGCCTGTGTTCAGGAAGCAAGACCATGGCGGGCGGTTATGCCCAGTGAACCAAGAAGGAGTGGGCAGAAGGAAGTGAGAGCTAGACCCTGTTCACTTTGAGGATCCAGTAAGCTTTTTGATTTTTATTACAACTGTGATGGGAAGTAGTTAAAGGGTTTTAAGCAGAGATGTGATAGGATATAGTTTAAATTTAAACAAATCACTCTTGCCGTGTGGAGAATGGATTTTAACTGGAGCAAGAGTGGATGCTGAAAGCATCGTCAGGAACCCACGGAGAGATGAGAATGGTCTGGACAAGGGTGATATACAGGAAGGTGGTGAGAAATGGTTGGGCTTGGAGTGTATTTTAAGGAAGGTGTAGGCAACAAGACTCGCTGGGAAGCTATGGAGTACAGGGGGTAAGAAAGAAAAGAAGATTCAGTATACTCCTACAGTTTGGCTGAGCAGCTGGGTTGATGGACAAAACTAAGAGGAAAACAGGTTGGTGGTGGGAGACAGGGCACAAATCAAGAGTTCTGTTGGACATATTAGGCTGTAGACTTCCAAGGAGAGATGTTGATGAGGTAACTAGATGTACAAATCCAGAACTTTGTGATACGGTCAAGATTGGAGGGCAGAAGCATACAGAAGATATTTTATCCATGGGACTAAAGGATATCACCCAGAAAAAAATGAAGAAAGAGAAGACCCAAGGCAGAGCCATAGGATCTTCTAATATTTGGATAACTGGCAGAGGAGGGGAATAACTACAAAGAAGAGGTCATGAGGAGCTGCTGGAGAAGCAGGAAGCAAGCTAAGAAAGGGCAGTGTCGTGGTAGCCCAGACAGAAGGTGTTTCAATCCCGTTGGAGTGTCCAGGTGTCAAATGAAGGGAGCAGGGCATGGCCGTGGATTTGGCAGGATAGATGTCATTGGTGAACTGGACCAGAGCCACTTCTGTGGCATGGGGAGAATGCACACGTGACTGAAGTGGGTCCAGGAAAGAAAGGGGGTAGAAAGATGAGGCATAGCAATCTTTTGAGGAGTAATTGCTATGAAGGGGAGCGGAGAAATGGGGCAAACTAGCTGGAGGGGACATCGGGTTAGAGGAGGAGAATGTTTACAGGTAGAAGATACTAAAGCATGTTGTAGACTTACGAGAATGATCTAGAGAAAAAGGAGAGACTGAAGCTGCAGGAGAGAGGGGAGAGAATTGTAGGAGTGAAGTCTTGGAGACAGAATGGATCCCGAAATACAAGGGAAAGAATTGGCCCAATAAAGAAGGAGGGACACTTTCATCATGTGCCAAAGGCAGAGAGGAAGAGGATGTGGGAGCAGGGCTGTTGGAGTGTGTGGAGCTCAAGGTTGGGAAAATGAAGTATTTCCCATCTCGTCATTTCTCATCAGCTGCCTCCCACAAGGCCAGACTTCTAAAATGTTATCACAGCCCAGGATAGAAGCTGTTGTACATCTCGATAATCCAAAGGCAATACATGATATTTTCTAAGGATGACATTTTGTTTCGTTTTCTTGGTTTAAGAAACAAGGAAATACTTAATTTCTAAAGGTTTCTATTCCAAACAAATTATAATACTTTAAAAATCGGTTTCTCAAAGATTCACCTGAAATTGAACACTTTATTCCCAGTCTCAGATAAATCGGACCACTAGAGTCCCAAAGGAGTCAGGAATGGCCGTGCCAAGGAGAGGAGACAGTGGGTGGCACTGTGGCCAGAGCCGATGAGACGGTGTAGACCTAAGGATGCGCACAGATTAACCTTTTGTCTCTCTCATCTTCAGCCCACTTCTTTCCAGTGCCTTGAATTCCATCTTCAGCAGGTGGGACCTCCCGGTCTTCACGCTGCCCTTCAACATGGCCATGACCCTGTACCTGGCAGCCACCGGCCACTACAACCTCTTCTTCCCCACGACACTGGTGGAGCCCATGTCTTCGGTGCCCAACATCACCTGGACAGAGATGGAGATGTCCTTGGTAAGTTCCCCAGCGGCAGAGGAGTTGGGACCCCTGCTTCTGTCACACACCTCCTCCATAACTAGCCTGTGGATTACCCAGGCTCTCTGCTTCTCCAGACGCAGCTCCGCCAGATGATGGCCATGGGTGAGGATAGGACAGGGAAGAGATGCTGCCAGCTCTGTATGCTCTTTCACTGAACCCTTATTGAAGACCTGATACGTGCCGGGCACTTTATCAGACACGAGGAATACACGGGGAGTAAGAGGACAACAACCTCTCTGCCGTTTTGCAGGGTACACTCCCCCAACCCAGGGAAACAGACAGTAAACAAGCGCACAGACGAGTGCCAAGTTGATGCTACACAGCCGTGGGGTTCGGGGAGAAATACTAAGTAAGATGGACGGCTGGGGGGAGGGGCAAGACACTAAAGTGAATGTTTAAAGTTAGGATTTTAAAGATATTAGCAGTAGAAGATGGGGATGAATTTGCATATACTTTCCATCTCAGTGGCTCTCAAGCAGGGGTGATTTTGTCCTCCTGAGCAGGGCAAATATCCGCAGATACTTTTTAAATTGTCTAAACTGGGGGGGAGGGGTGCTACTGGTATTGAGCAGGTAGAAGCCAGGGATGCCGCATGGCATCCTATTATGCACAGGACAGCCCTCCCCATAACGAAGAATTATGCAGCCCCAAATGCCAATAATACTGAAGTTGAGAAACTCTGTTTTACATCCAACTATCATAAATGTGCATATTCATTTATTCTACTGACGTCTAGACACTGGGGATGAAGAGATATAATAAAAATCTAACATAAGATTAAATATACAGAATTGTAACATTTGGCCTTGTTAATGAACAATAGAGAAAGCTAAGAGCCCCTCATAGGGCAAGCTTATTACGTACCAGACACTGTTCCAAGCCCTGGACTTGGGAACTCATTTAATCAACCCTCATAATAGCCCAATACTGTAAGTACTATCATTATCCCCGCTCCCAGATGAGAAAACTGAGGCACAGAGCGGGTTAGCTGCCCAAGGTCAAACTGCAGCTAGTGCCTGAGCATGAAACGCCTGCTGCAGAGCCCAGGCTGTGAGCCGCCTCCCACTTCGTCCCAGGCAGGACAGGCACCCTCGGCCAGAACAACCACAGTGAGGTGAAACCCTCTGCTTCTCAGTGCCGTGCGCCCCTCACTGGGTACCTTTACTAAGTGCTGGAGTGTTCTTTACCTTCCTCAGAAATCCATCCCCCTCCATCTTTCACCCATTGCTTCTAGCTCGGCTTTTTGGAATAATTCAGAATATTGTTTCCATGATCGTCTTTTGAATGCTTGCAAACATAACCCATGTCCTCAATACTGTTTAGACAGTCTGATTTCTGAGCCCTCACCACGCGGCCGAGCCCTGCTGCGGGGGGCTCAGCTCCAGGACCACGGCTCCAGGGCAGGGTGGGCCGCGGCTCCTCCAGGGCCGGCCACCCTCCGACCCCGAAGCCTCTCGGAAAAGGAAAGGCTCCCGAGCCCCTAGCGCAGACGCTGCTGCCAACCACGCAGACCCTTTGTAAAGGTTTTATCTTTGTAAAGTCTTGTCTGGGCCCAGGGCAGGAGTACGAGGAGTCAGGGTTAGGGTGGAAATCGGAGAGAATGGAAAAGACAGAGCCCTGCCTTGAAGGGAAAGCTCACCCTCTCCAGTGGAAAACAGCAGGGGTGGGAGCAAGGGCAAAACCCTACCTCTGATAGGATCGTCCGGGAGCCTCATCGGCAGTAAGGCACATTGCCCTAGGGGCACAGACCTGCTAGGTGGTGTTGTAATTGGAGTTTTCGATTCTGTGTTCCTTCAAACCTGTGTTCCTAGAGGGGAAGAGGGAAGTTGGAACCCCCTCAGCAGCCTGCATTCCTCAGACTTCGGGAAGTCATAGAATATTTACTGAGTAGACTTCTAACCCATTCCCCAAACAGAAGCTGAGTTCCCTGAACTGGCACAAAGCTTTCTCGGGGTTCCTTTAAATAAGATGCACCCCACCATGTCATTCCTGGCACAGGGCTATAGGCTCTGGCCCAATGGGTCTTGGTGATTGAAAGGCCACCCATCTAGAGACAAGGATGGGTAAAGCTTAAAAGCTCAAAACACTATTCTCTAAAGAAATCAGACTGACTCCAGAATTAAATCAGTTTGTTAAAATGTCCAAAAATTCACCCAAAGGGAGACGTGCAGTGAACTCCCAACATCTACAGTAGGTCATGTGTAACTAACCCAGTGGTCCCCAAACTCGGTTGCACATTATAATCTCCTGAGGCCCTGGTCAGGCCCATACCGGTTAAATCAGGCATCAATTTTTTTTTTTAAAGATCTCCAGGTGATTCCAATTACAGCCAAGTTTGGAAACCGCTGAGCGAATCAATACATATATATGAAGCACCTAGTATGTACCCAGCCATAAAGGAGACCTCAAAGAGGTCACATCACCTAGTAATGGAGTGAAGACCGCAGAATTTTAAAGCTGAAAGATTATCTGATAAGGCAGCCTCCTCCTGTTACAGAGGTGGACACCAGAGCCCAGCGTGAAGAAGTGACATACTCGCCATCAAGCCATGAGCTCACGCAGAGACCTCTGAAGGCTGAAGCCCTCAGCTCCCAGGCCAATGCTCTCCCTAGCCTGCCAATCTCCCTCGTTCCTTCTTCCCCTCCTCTGTCAGATGGGGATGGTTCAGCTTGGGCAGAAAAGGGCCATCTGGCTGCCAAACTAACCATCTCCAATTACAACACCACCAAATGACTCTTAAGCTCAGGGATGTTGGCTTTGTTCTGTTTTCCAAGGTTGCGCACATTACCCTTCTGCAATGCTAAAGGCTCCTCGAGCAGGGGAAGTCCCACCTCCTTCCCAGAGCCCCACAACACCCTAGGTAGCTCTGAATCTACAGCAACCACCTGTAGACTAGGGGTCAAGTTCAGAGGCTTTAGCCTGGCCTTGGCCACCAATAAGTTGGGGGACCTTAGATTAAGTCAATCGTCAGAATGGCCTAAAATATTTCCAGTATTCCTGGAATAGTTGTAGGATTTCGGAAGGTCTAGTGGCAATACCTTAGTGCCCCGAAACCTCCAGTGGCAGTCTAGAGAGGAGGTGCCCTCTGGTCCCCTCAGAGTTTCTCCTCTCAGAGCAGAAGCCATGTGTCCCTCAGAAGCATCTGTGTTGGGGGGCCCTGCCCGGCTCTGCATGAGGGATACCAGATGCCTGCTAGGTGGTGGAGTGAAGAGCGATTTGTTCCGGCTGGCGTCCTGCCTCCCAAGGTCTCTTACACACTGGAGGGTAGCACCGTCCCCCCACCCCACCCTGTTCCAGCCCATTACCCCCACCAGGAATGGCTCAGTCCCGACCCTAAGGCCTGGTCTTTGTGTTATGTGCCCACGGTCCAGTGACCCGGATTCTGTTGACTTTGCAGCTGCTACAAGCCATCCCCGTCGGGGTCGGCCAGGTGTATGGCTGCGACAGTCCCTGGACAGGCGGCGTCTTCCTGGTGGCTCTGTTCATCTCCTCGCCACTCGTCTGCCTGCATGCCGCCATTGGCTCCATCGTGGGGATGCTGGCGGGTAGGACACGGTCCCATCTCTGCAAGGAGGGCTTGGGCATAATCTTCCTGAGGTCATTTCACCCCTGCATGTGGCAAGTGTTCTAGATCTATGATCTTCACCAGCGTTTTTGAACACTGTCAGGAGTAGGGATGTATTTTTCCCTTTCTTGAGTCTCCAAAGGGAGCACACTGCCTCAGCAGGATATGTGGGGAGACGCAAGGGACTGAAGACCTGATCAGCCTGCTAACTGAGCCCCTGGGAGCTGAGGGCTGGGAGGAGGGGAGGGGAACTCAGGGAGGAGGAGAGCAGTAGCACACCAAGAGGTATAAATGACCCAGCACTTCGAAGTGTCAAGGAAACTAAAAGAAAAAAACTTCTCAAAATTTGTGTTGCTATTTGACAAATGTGATTTAATATTTCTACATGTATGTGTATGTATGTACATGCACGTATATATGGATACGTGGACAGCAGAGCCAGAAATTGGAGTTGGACATATGGGACTAAGATCCTGTCGACTCATTCCAATATTTGTCAGAAACATCTTGGAAACAGAACTTAAAAAAATTCTTTGAAAATAACTTTGAACTTACCAAAAAATTACAAAAATAAAAACGGTACACAAAGCACCCCATACATTCTTTACCTGATTCACCTGTTGTTCACATCCTACCGTTTCACTGTATTATTTCTCTATCTCCGTGTTCCTATATGTGTACATACATACTTTTCCTCATCCGTTTGAAGCAGACCTTTCTCAGTTGAAAACTTTCTTACTAAAAATGCAGTTGCTGTGGCCAAAGGAGTGGGGAAGGCCTAGAATCCCAACACCTTGACCTCCCTTCACCTTGAAAGTAGTCATACCTCTATGTGAAATCTCCAAAACACAGTCTGGAAATCACTGCTCTCTTCTTCTTGTTGGTTCCCGAAGACCAGATGCCATTTGTAGAAGCTCCTTTCATGGGAGGAGGGAGGAGGTTGGGGGGGGGATGCCAGGATTGAGGCCACCCTGAGACCTGGCACCAGCCACGGGGTGGCCTTTGTGCTGGAACCCGGGACTGGCCAGAAACAACACACCTCGTCCCACAGCCCTGACGGTGGCCACGCCCTTTGGGAGGATCTACTTGGGCCTCTGGAGCTACAACTGTGTCCTCTCCTGCATCGCCATTGGGGGCATGTTCTACGCCCTCACCTGGCAGACCCACCTGCTGGCCCTTTTCTGTGGTAGGTATTTGAGGAAAGCCATGTCACTCTGCTCTTCCTTCCCTCCCTGCTTGGTTACGTGAAACTCATGGGGCCCACTAGTCAGAACTCACAACAGTGATAGAAGGACCTGTGGCTTGGGTCCCGACACCAGGAGACTTGAGGTTCCTCTTCTGGCAAATGGAGTCGCAACCACGCTTACTGCTATTACAACAGTGTTGGAAGTTTACAAGGAGATCACACATGCATTTCCTCATGTGCTAGTGGCAGTGTCCAGGTGTAATAACTTTTCATCCCACAACCCATTACAGAGCACCACTAAGTGCCAGGCCCTAGGCTAGACACAGATGCAGTGGGGACCACATCCTCATGAAGCCACATATAGTGGAAGAGAAGTAATCACACAATTGTTAAGGCTGTGATGTCTAAAAAGATTGTCGGAAAGACCCAGGGAGATGATGTACTTGGGAGCACTGAGGTCTCAGAAAATCGGACCATGGGAGCTTGATTCCCATGGAGTAAACAGCGTGCTGTCCCAAGGGAAATGGGCTGCAGGCCTTATTACGGCTGCCCCCAGCACCACATGGGAGCTCAGTCCAGGCATAGATTGTCGGCGCATTTTATGGGACAGGGAAAGAAGCCCAGAAAGGTTCACGAACTTCGCGTCGAATGCAGCTATTAAGGGCAGAAGCAAGATTCAAACCACAGCCCCATCTTTCCACCAGTCTTCCTGCCCTGAAGTTGCTTATATTCTCTGGAAACAGCAGGACCTTAACAAGCAAAACTAAAGACAAGTAAAGGGCAGAATACCATCCAGGAGAACTTTTGTTTTTTTCCCCACTCATGTGTGGCGACTGTAAATGTCTTCCGTGTCCCTTATAGTCCCCTCAGCAGCCAGCAGGGAGACGGTAGGCTCGATAAATATTTGTCAAGTCAAAAGTGCCAGATATTTTGAGGCTAAGACTGTAACTGCATTTGGCCTTCAGAGAAGTGGCAGATTCTTGTGGCTAGAACCATCTGGGAAGACTTCAGGAGGAGGATGGGGTTTATCTCGACATTGCCAGGATGGGAATTGGGTGGGGGGCAGGGGGCACAGAGAAAGTGTTCTGGACAGAGGAACAGAAAGAGCAAAAGTGAAGGGGCAGAAGGAGCCTGTCCAGGGGCACAGGGGTGTTGATGAGCTACCCTATCCTGAGGGCCACGTCCTAGGGTGAACTCAGATGCCTGACTCCTAAAGACAAGCTCACGGACCAATAAGGTCCAGCCCTTGTGAGACTTGGTGCAGGTCCAAAAAGGTCTATCATAGCTGCTCAGAATCTTGGACGGGAGAGGACTTGCTGGGGGCTCATATAATCTGACCCCTCAACCCCTGGACAGATAATAATCCAGTGACCCGGCCTGTGCCAGACCATCCCCAAGGTCAGTATGACAAGCAAAAGATGCTTACTGACGCCTGACTCTATGCATGCAAGTGGGGACTCCCCATGGAAGTGGGGAAGGGATAGAACGCTTTCATCTCTGCCCTGGGAACCCACAGTCTGGTGGGAGACTGGCCACACCTACCTGCAAAGATAACTACCATAATAATGTCAAGCAAATATGCCAGATGTCAGGGTCTGCTGCAGACACTGAGGCTGCTGGAGACAGGATGGGCCCCCCTGCCCTTGGGGAGGGTGGGGGCAGACCCTGGGAAGCTGACTCCATGGGCCTTGTTTTTCCACAGCCCTGTTCTGTGCATACATGGGAGCGGCCTTCTCCAACATAATGTCGGTGGTAAGTTTGGATTCTCCTGAACATGCCCCTCCCCCAGCCAGGGCTTTAGGACATTTGCAGTTTGTGGAAGAATCCTGAGTGCATTATGATAGCTAGTACCCACACAACGTCTTTGTCAACGTTTATCCAGGGTTTGTCCAGAGAAGGACTGGCAATTGCATGCATGTGCCTCTGAGGTAGTTGGGGGTGGCTGTGTGTGTGCGCAAAAGGGAGATACGACCGGCAGTGGAGAACCTAGATGGATAGATGGAGGTATTGGTGTGTGGCCGGATGTGGGAAATCATCCCTAGGCTGATTTTCAGCTCCATCATTAAAAGATTCCGATTGTATCCAAAAGTGCCAACATCTCAAATTCCTAGACCAACTCCTCTGATGTTATGAACCCAAAATCCAATGTCATCACTAGGGAAGAAGGATCCCCATCCTCAACTCCTACCACATCCTTCTCCCCCAGGGTCCCTGCAGCCTAGGACCATTTTCAGACCCCAGTGTTTCTTCTTCCAGGTTGGTGTGCCACCAGGCACCTGGGCCTTCTGCCTCTCCACCCTCATCTTCCTGCTCCTGACGACCAACAACCCTGCCATCTATAAGCTCCCACTCAGCAAAGTCACCTACCCAGAGGCCAACCGCATCTACTACCTGAAAGTGAAGAGCAATGAAGAAGAGAAGTCCCCCAGCGGTGACTAGCCAACTCCTAGGCAGAAATGCTCTTTGCCTGGACCTGGTGTCTGCTCCCTATGGTCTCAGCTCTGGGTCAATCTGCTGCAGCACTCCCCTTCTGTGCCTCTCCTGTTAGAACCAAACACACCTGTACCTCCCTTTCCCTGGTGCTCATTTTTCTCTCTCTGCCCAAATAGCCATAACTATCCATATATGACTTTAGAGGAAGTTGGTATGAGCTTGCAGAGTTAGAAGTAAGACATGTGCTTTCAATGTCATTGTCTTAAAACAAAAACATTTCTCTTTAGTCTTTTAGGAAGATGATTACAAGATGGTCTTCATGGCATGTTTAGCTGAATAATAGATGCTGTAAAATTGAACTTGCTGAGTCGTTCCCAGGCAGACTCGGAGTGGGTGGAAATTCAGGGGATACATGCAAAGAGTTGAAGGTGCATTGAGTTAGTGGCTGATGAGCACACCCAGCATTACATAAAAGGGAGGGATTTCACATTGATAGAGTTTTAAAGTCAAAGCAGGGACAATTAGAGCACTGGGAGTGTCTAAATAGGAAGTCTCGAACATTCAGTGGTCAGAGTAAGGGCAAGATGCTATCTCATAGCAGGAAGCAATTCATAAAAATTAGAATCCCACATATGACTTCTATTATTAAAAAAAAAGGTAAGAAACTTATCTCATTCTCCTATTTGCCTGTGGGTGTTAGAAGCTTTATGAGGTCTGTGATACTTAAATGGTTAGCCTGAGTAGAAGGACAAACAATTATCCATGAAGTTCATAATTTGACTTCCCAATTACAGTCATTAACTTACATTCAGTCTCCATTTATATGTATATCAGGGCTCAGCAAACTTTTTCTGGAAAGGGTCAAACAGTAAATGTTTTTGGTTCTGGAGACCTTGTGGTGTCTTTAGCAAACACTCACCTGCGTGTCTAAGGCATGAAACAGCCTTAGACAACATAGACATGCATGAGCATGGCTGTGTTCCACGATCAAGCAAGGAAACTAGATTCGACCCAGGTCTGCCTGTGCCTGACATGGATGCTTGCCATCGTAACAGTTCGGAGCTGGTGGGCAGAGGGCAGGCCCAAAGGACACCGCCAAGTTCTTTGCAACAGACACCCACATAGCCATTTCTGTGCTGGGTGATAGTAGAAGATTATAGGAAAGTGAGATTAGTATGACCGGAATCGGGAAGATCCGCTCTGAGTCTCCTTGACCCAGTGCACCAGAGGCTGCCATTTTCATCCAGGCCCTCCTTCCCCAGCAAGGTCTGGGAAGCACCCCTCCTCTGTCCTCTCACTCTGCTTCCACCTCTGCCAGCAGGCACACCACCGCAAGAGTAAGGAAAAACTGACCTTTGGTGCAGGCGTTGCCAGTGGGAAGAGCAGGGAGGCTCCTAGAATCGCAGGCGTGGAGTGGAGTGTGAAGGTCAGGTGGTCTGCGGAGGATGGGGGTGTCAGTTCCCTGCCAGGCTTCCAGACAGGGCTCAATTACCCAAAAGGGAGGGGAGACCCCCCAACTATTCTAACAAGAGAGAACAGAACCAGATTCCCCATTCATTCACTATGGACAAACTGTGCCCAGAAATCTTTCCTTTCCTTTAAGCCTGTGAAACTCTCCACCCCAAGAACTGGATCTGATAGGAACTGGGGTTTTTGTTGTGTTTTTTGTTTTTTTTTTAAGATTTTATTTATTTATTTGAGAGAGAGAGAGAGCATGAGTGGGGGTGAGGTGGGGGAGAAGCAGGCTCCCCAGGACCCTGGGATCATGACATGAGCTGAAGGCAGACGTTTAACTGACTGAGCCACCCAGGCGCCGGGGAGCTGGGTTTTAACCATGCTA